ACCTGGACCTCCGCGATGGCCCTCAGGGCCCCCCTTCCCTGGCCAGACGGTTGTCGGCCTGGTGCGACAAAGGCTGGTTCGCTAGTTGGCCGCTGGGGCTGGCGGGCCGCGCGAACCGGGCCATTTGGTTGTCGTTCAAGCCACTGAAGGTTGCACAGCGGATGTCTAGTTAACCTAACCATGGTGTCGTAGCCGGCGCGCTGCCTCGTGATGGTCCTTCATCCAAAGTTGGGGTTATTGTTTCCTCTAGACACCCGCGCAGGGACAGAGGAACACGCGCTCTCCTCTTCTCTTATCGCGCACTCATTCACTCAATCACTCACGCACATCATCACGTACACTCACCCACTCACTCACTCACTCACCCACTCACACCAACTCACACACCCATTCCCGCCCACTCGCCCACTCACCCACCAGCGCACACACGCACTCATCATCATCACTCACTCACGCACTCACCCACTCACCCACCCACCTACCCGCCCACTCACTCACTCACTCACAAGCCCATCATCATCACCATCGTCACCATCATCATCAGCATTAACATCATCATTATCAGCATCACCATCATCATCATCTTCGTTCACTCAGTCTCTCATTCACTCATGCACTCATCTAGGGCGGGAGCTTCGTTTGCGAGAACTGCGAAGAAGTCTCAGGCGGGCCCCCCCACCCAATGGAGCCCGCAACTCATGTGAGTAATGCGAGCGGGTCATCGAGATCCTGTGCCTGTCGTTACTTTTGGCCTCTTCAAGCTTGGGCGCGGGGGAAGTCTCAGGGGGGGGGCTTCGTCTGGGAGGATTGCGGGGAAATCTCGGGCGGGGGCCCCCTCCCTGCGGGGCCCGCAGCTCACTTTGCAAATCCGAGCTGGTCATCGGGACCTTGTCCTTGTCGTCGCTTTCGGGCCCCCGGGGCCTGAGCGTGGGGGGAGCGCCCAGCGGGGGCCCCGTCTGTGAGTTAATTGCGAGAAAGTCTCTGGCGGGAGCCCCCTCCCTATGGGGCCCGCAACTCATGCGAATAATCCGAACGGGTCATCGGAACCGTGTAACTGTCGTCACCGTTGGGCTCCTGCGGCTGGAAGATGGAGGAAGCATCGGGCGGGGGCCTCATCCGTGAATGACTTGCGAAGAAGTCTCAGGCGGGAGCGACCGCATCTTCCGCTGGAAAACTCTCCGCGCGGTCTCCCTGCGCCTGGCCCTCTCGCGCGGATCAGGGTTCCTCATCGGTTGACCTCCGTCGCTGGTGGACGCGGTAGGTAGTTTTAGCCGCCGCTGCTGGCCCTCCAGCGCGGCCGCGCCACTGCCAGCGCAAAAACTCGCTGCCATATCCACTGGGCGGTGGTCGCGCGGTCGTCGAAGTTTGACTTGGCATCCAACATCCTAAATCTATCCTGGTACGCGAGGTCGCAGTCGCGTTCCGTCCGTTGCCCGTTCTGGCGCCGCGGTGCTCTGTGGCGCCGCCCCAAATGCGCCTGGAAATGGCAGCGGGCGCCGTGTCTCAACCACTTCCCCAGAAGTCCATTGCCCGGAATGCAGGAGCTGCCTGGCTCTGCGGCATACTCTACAGACAGGCCGTCTGGAAAGCGCCGCGGCCAGTCCGCGTGGGAGGCCAGGGCCGCGGAATCTGCCCGTCTGATTTGTGTGCTTCCATCAGCGGTCGGAGGGCTGGGTCGTCCAATTTCGGCGGGTCGTGCCCGTCTTGTACACGCGTGGGTGGCGGCCCTTCAGACACTCTGCGCGGCGTGGCCTGCGGTTGGCCCGGCGCCGCTGCGGATCCGTTAGTGGGGGCCCATGGCGCCCCCGCCGCAATCGGCTGCGTCGCTACTCGTGGCCAAGTCGGTGGTCTCGTAAGCGTCGGTGGATAGCGGTAGGATGTGATGCGGCTCGCCGGGGTGGATGGTTGCCCTTCTTGTCCTTCGCTCGCTCGTGCTCCTTGTTGCCGGTGCAGAATGATTCTGCGCGGGTGGCAAGGGTGGGCCTCTGCCTGGTGCGCCGATGCGCCCATGCAGCGGGCCGATGGCTTCCGGCGCCATCTCCTCCGTCGCGGCGATGCCATCGTCTCTTCTTGCCATCGGGGGCGCGGCGTCGACGTCGACGCGGATGATCCCGGTCGGAAGGTTCGGCTGTCCTGGCGGCGTGGACTCTGTGAGCCACGCCGCCGGTGCGAGGCTGTCCCGCTCGTCGTTTAACTGCTGCGCAGTGGAAGGCGTAGTCGGAGATCTCGGTGGTCTCGTCGGCGCAGACGATTTGTGCAACCCCGGTACTAGCGCGTCAAAATGTAGAGCAAGCACTCCGAAAATGTCCGTCTCCCCGGCCATCGCGTCGCTTCGATTTGGGCAGGCTGCGCTTCCTCATTCTCCACCTGGTGGGGCGTCAGGGGGCCCGCCCGTGGGCGAGATTGCGGCGGCTCGTTCTCGGTGAGGATGCCCGAAAAGGCCTGCTCGACGGCGTCGATCATCTCAGCGCCGTCGAGGCGCTCTCGCGCGGAAGCCGCGTCTGGGCGAGCTCTGCGGCGCTCCTCGGTTGCCTCCTCAGCGCGCTTCTCGCGCGTCTCCGCCACGTTCCTCCGCTCGTTCTCCTCCTGGCGGTAGGTGTGTATCTCGCGTCGGTAGGCGTCGCGCTGCTCTGCTGCGCCGACTCCAGCTCTCTGCGTCGCAAACTGCACCTGCCCAATCACGCGTAGAGCCTGCCGGCGCGCCTCCTGCTCGCTCGCGTTCGCCCATAGCGGCCGGCGTTTCTAACCACAGTGTCTTTGTGCCTGTTCAGCATCCCTTCTTCTGCCCTGCCGCTCTATGTTGTGATTCATATGTTGATGCTCTTCGCGCGCGCCGCATGTCGTTGCTACTATGTTTCTGTTGTGCTCGTAGTCCGCATGCGTCCTGTGTCTTCTGCTTCCCTCCGCAGCCATTTCGTTGCATCATCATGTTGCTGTGTTCCTTGGCTTTTGGTTGCTGTAAAATGTCCCTAAGCTTCCAATAGTTTTTGCTCAGTGGTGGCGCGGTCCTTGTCGTCGTCAATGAATCTTACGTGTGCCTCGCCAGTCCCCCTCTGCAGCTAAAAAGTCAGCTCGTGGACATGCTTTGTGGAGGAAGCAACGTTGGCCGCCTGGGGCCCCTCTCTGTCCTGGCGGGAGCTGCTTTGCTCCTTGCTAGTAGACGTTCCTGATGAGCGGCCGTCGGGAGTGGAATTGGAATTGTGGGCCTGGTCATTGAACGCCGCGTAATAGTGCTTGGCTCTTGTTGCTTCGCTATGTTTCTTTTCGGCTTGCTCATGAGTGGCTTCCGTCGCTTCTCGCGCGTGCTTCTTGATGGCGTAGATCTCGTTGGCAACCTCTGCCTCAGAATGTTTAGTGTGGGCTGCCATGCGCTGGCTGTCCTCCTTCAGCGTCCTGAGCTGCGTGCCAATGTCTTGTCCTTTGGTGGTTTTGCCAGCCCGCGTTCGTCTTCGTGGTGCTGGCAAAGGCCTCCGTGGCGGTGCATCCTTCGGTGGTTCATCCGCTCCGTCGCCGGCAGCTCTGATGCCCCAGCAGGTGTCGCCCCTGGCGTTGGAGATGTCATGGTGCAAGACGTCGGGCTCCTCAATGTTGTTCTCCAGCTCCGTCATGTCGACTTTTGTATGGTTCTGGTGGGTTTCTATTTGCTCGCGGAGGTCCTCCACGGTCCTCTTGGAACTGCCGGTCTCAGTTGCCTGTTGGGCTACGGCCATAACTTGCCGTTGTATAACATGCCTCTGTTGAATGCGATCTGCGTGGCTGCGTGAGTGGGCATGCCTGTTGCATTGTTTTCCCCGATAGTTGTTGCCGAGCCCCTCTGCTCAATGTATGAGGTATCCCACTGCTCTCTCAACTTGGGGTAGTTTGGTGGCATCTCCCAGACGTGTGTCCTGAGTGCGTAGGTTTTCCTCATGGGCATGGCGTTGTTGATGGCATTGGTGATGTGAGCGTTGTTGTCCTGGTTCGTGCCCTTTTTCCTTGGTGTTTTTTCCTCTTCGGGTTGGAGCTATGCCTTGCCCTTGGAGCTTTGCCTGTTCCTTCTTTGTTTTTGGCATGCTGGCTCTGGCTGTCAATTTCGCAAGCGTTCTTGATGGCGCTTCCCTTGCCACTGTGGTTGTTGCCCTTGCCGCTGTGTGGTTCCTGTGCGCGCCGGGGTGGGACTTGGCCCAATGGTCACTCCAGTAGTCACTGTAGTCCAGTTGTAGTTCGTCCAGCGGCCAGCGATCATTGGTGTAATAATGAATAAGAAATCGCGCTGTGGTTCCTGTGCTTCGTGGGCGGTTCGATGTCGATCCGCAAGGCGGGGGCGCAGTTCCCGAACCACTCGCCGCTGATCCCTGTAATGCTGGCGCGGTCGGAGGTTTAGGTGGGTATCGCGGTCACTGTCGTGCACTCGATACAATTGGAATCTTTCATGTGCTCTGTCAAGTCGTAGAAAAACCCGCGCGTCAACACGTTGCCGACGTTGCCGCTTTTGCCAAGCGGGGCTACGGGACCTTTTCGTCCTTTTTCGTCCCGTGATGTCGTATCCAAGGGCGTGGCGGTTGTCGCAGCCGGAATCGGTAGCGAAGGGAGCCGGTGTAGGTATCGCGGGCCTGATGGGCCTGCGAAGACCACGGTGGCCGCCGCCTCGGCCCCCTTGCGGGGCAAATGGGAGCGGGATCGGGCGATCGCGGCTAACCCCAATCCTCCACCCCCGTCCACCACATCGTCCTCTTCATCCAGACCTTGCTCATTGCCTTTTGCTCCTCCTCTTTATCATCATCGTTCTCCTCTTCCTGCCCATTCTCATCACCCCTCCTGGATACGTTTTCGTATCATCCATCTTCCCACTCCACCTCCTCATCATCAAACGGTAATTCCTTTTCTCATCCGCTTCTCATCCTCCTCCTCACACTCCATCCCCATCCGTAACCACTGGGAACCTGCGTGGACCTCCACAGCCATTCGAAGATCGCCGAAAACCTTCGGGGAGAAAGCCCAGAAGTCTCCGACGCGAGCGCCTTCCTTCTCGCCACCGTCGTCGTCCGAAGCCTGCTTGCCCCCGGCCAACTTCTCGAGCGCCCGCTCGTCCCAGCCGTTACGCTTGAGTCCAGGGTGGTCCTGTGCGCGGGCTCAACCTCCCCCGTCAGCCTCCACCTCTCCCTGCCCCCCCCCCGGTTCCCCTCCACCCGGCCCATCCACCAGCCCCCCCTCCTCCCCTCGCACTAAGCAGATACACGTGGTACTTGGTGCTAGTCTCCCCCCCCTCCCTCACAACATCCTGCCTTTGACACGCTCCTCCCGCTTACTCTTCCACACGCGGGAGATCAATGCTGTCCTCTCCCTACGATCGGACCCTTGCTTCTGTCCATCATAATGACGCTCTCGCCCCATCGTTTGCAACATCTCTGGATCGGATTCACTCCTCGTCGTTGTCGTCCCTCTCCTTGTCCCTTTTTTTCCGGCACCTGCTAATTGCTGCTCCTCTACAATCTCCACTGTGCAAACAGCCTCACTCGTCTATTGCGCAACCAACGATGGTTCTAGTCGTGCGAATGCCATTTGAATATCAAGGTCTCCACTCGGCGGACAGTAGAGGATTCAAGGCGTCGCCAAGGGATGGGTGGGAAGGGTGGGATGACAGATGTGGTGCGAGCGCGCATCATTTGTCCCCCCATTTCTTCCTCACCCTCCCGTCCTTTTTCTTCTTCCACTCCCTGCCTCACCCTCTCCTCCTCCCCCTCCGCTGCCTCCTCCTTTTCATGTTTGTCTTCCTCATACTCCTCCTCCCCCTCCTTTCCTCCTCCTCCTGATGATTCTCCTCCTCCTCCTCCTCCTGCTTCTCCTCCCCCGCCTCGTCCTTCTGCATCTGCTCCTGCTACATGTCCTCCACTCCCTCCTGCACACGCTGATCCTCTTCCTGCACTTGCTTCTCTCCCCCCGGCTCCTCCTCCTCCTCCTCCTCCTTCTCGTCCTCCTCCTCGTCCTCCTTATCCCACACTCCTGGTCCTTGTCCTCCTCCTCGTCCCTCACCCCTCCGCGTTATCCTGCCTCTTCTCCTTCCCCCAGAATGTCTCCTCCCCATCTCGTTCCCAAGGACAGATGGATGGCTTGCCCTGGCCCGTTTCCCGCCAACGCCCCCCCCCGTCGCCACCGCCGAAACCGAGCAATAGGGGCACGCGTTAGATTCGCAGACCCCCTGATAATTGCCCTGCCCCAAACCGCTCCCCAGGGAAGCCGATCTGGCCGGTTTTTAAGGCTGAAAAGGGTCTGGTCGGATCCATCGCAAACCTACCTGCCACAGAGATGCTCGCGGACGCGTAGAACTCCCAGCCCATGGCTTCGATATTGACCGACAAGCATCCGAGACGGTCTAAGAAGGCCTCACGAAGGCCCAAGTTCAAGCCAGCCACAAGACCGCTCAAGATGTCCCGAAGACGGCCCAAGGGGGACCTCCAAACCGTTCCAAGTGTCGGCCCACTTGCGTGTTGTACTTGGCGTGTTTGGTAGCGTGCTGAACAACTGGCAAATGTCGAATCACCTTAAAGATAAGGCCGAACACATACATGAAACACGTGAACATTATCCGTAGCCGCAACCGTTGTTGCATTAGCAGCAACTTCAGCAACAACGCATGACCATCAAACGTAGCAATAGCAATGCAAGTAGTGGTATCCGTGTCCCTGCGATTGTGCGCAGCATATGGGCAGGCGCACGCACAGGAACAATATGTGGCGTGAACGGATGAGATGGCGAATGATGCACGAGGGATGAACAAGGGAGGACGAGGGGGCGGATGAGAGATGGATGAAAGAGCGTGGAAAGGAGGAATAGAGGCGAGAGGCTGGATGGCGTCAAGGCGGGGGGGAACACATGTGGTCAACTACTGGTCAGCATGCCCCTGAAAAGCCCACCTGGAAAGCTGCAAGACCTCAGGCGACCACAACGCGCTATCGCCGCTGTTCCACCGCAACTCAAGGCCCCGAGCCACCTCACGGAACCTGAAAGCACGTTCCAGGAAGGCGTCCAGAGAGGCATCCTACGGCCATCGTGCCACCGTAGTGAACACCGAACAAGTAAAGACGACACTTGTCTGGACACGACGAGCCTCGGCCATAAATAAAGCCCCGCCAGAGCTTAAGGCGGTTCTTCCTTCAACGTCTTGGCCGCATGGTTCTTTCGGGCCGCTGCCGTGTCCCAACCGCAGAAAAAAAAAAAACAAGCATCCTCTCGGAAGCGTCCAAGAGGGGACGTCCAAGAAGGGGACTGGCAAATCATGGCCTGAAGCACGTGCGCGGACGAATGAGGGGGACCAGGGGACGTATTGAAACGAGAAGAAGGGCCATGAACTCCAGAGGGATGTTTTGGCCTCGGCAATAATGTCCAACCCGTCCCTAATCATCACCCCCCTCTTGGTCGCCACCGAGCCCCTGGAGGGCAGGCAACGCCATTGGTCCTCCATCCACTGCGGGGGCGGAGTGCGCAGCGACTTGATGTGGATCCACTCGGCGCGGGGTGTTTGTCCAGCCATGGTGGCATGCTCGGGGCAAGCAAGGAGGATATGCCTCCGCTCCCCTCCTCACGCAACTGATTACCCTTCTCTGTCCTAATCCTCCACCGTCTCATCGTCCACCTCCTCATTCTCATCCACCTCCCTTATCCTCCTACGTTTCTAATCTTCTCCGCCTTCAATCACTCCTCCAAGCCCTCGCCTGTCTCCTCCCAAACGGAACCACCGCTGAACTCCTTGATCCGTTCTCTCTGATCCTTACCCCTCCCCTTCCTTCTACCCTCTATCTTCCCCTCTCCCCAATGAGGAAGTGCGCGCGCAGAAATTCAACGACTCGGCCACAGTACCCGAGATGTAGCCAGCCCCTTCTCCACACAAGGCGCCTATATGAACGCCCAATACACAATGAACAAACTGCGAACATTTCACGACTTGCATGGCCATCACCTCAGCCGTGCCTCCCGGGAGCCCACGAAAGTGGCGACCCTTGCGCACTTCGCAGCCCCGAGGGAGCCGCGAGGCCTCAAATGGATCTGCGTGGCCCTTACCTCCGCCGTGCCGCCCGGCAGCCCACGACAGTGGCGAACACAAACACACACTTTGCAGCCCCCGAGGGAGCCGCGAGGTCTCAAATAGAATCTGCGGTGCCCTGCACTCCGCCGTGCCTCCCAGGAGCCCACGACCATGGCGACCCTTGCGCACTTCGCAGCCCTCGAGGGAGCCGCGAGGTCTCAAATGAATCTGCGCTGCCCTTACCTCCGCCGTGCCTCCCAGGAGCCCACGAAAGTTTGGACAATTGCGCACTTCGCAGTCCTCAGGAGGACGCACAAGATGCAGGCGGACGCACAAGATGCAAGAGGAGGTATGCGGAGGACGGGGTGGGGAGGTTGAGCGAGCAGTGCTCTATATTCAAAGCGAGAACCGAATCAAAGAAGGGGTGGAAACTAAACAAAAAACTTGTTTTCCATATGTCTTGAACGCGGGCGACCACAAACGGGGCACCAGGTGAAACCCTGACAGACGCATTCAATCACTTAGGTAACGTGGTCAGTCCGCCGATCCCCGCTGGCCGGGGGTGAACAGGCGTGTGAAACATTTGGCCGTTATCCCCCTCCCCCAAGGGTCCAAAATCAGATTAAATGCCCCCCATCCCAGAGGGGGCACGAGCTCGTCAAGGCGCCCCCAGGGTCACCGGAGCCTCCAAAGAGCCTCAAGACGGCCGGAGGGGGCCCAAACAGAGCGCCAAGACAGTCCAAGAGATCGTCGAGATGGCCCCACGACGGTCCAAGATTGCTTCGAGACGGCCCACGAGGTCCCCAAGACATCCCAAAAATGCTTCCAAAGAACCGTCGAGACGGCCCCAAGAAGCAACGATCGTCCGAATCCGTGAGGAAAACACACATTGTTCGCACGTCTAAGACGGCCACAGGAGCTCCCAAGGTCGTCCCAAGACGGACCCTGAGGCCCCAGGGGCCCCCAAGACGGCCTGGAGAGGCCCACGAGGGCCCAAAAAGTGGCAAAAGTCGTATACGAATTGACATGTCGAGACGGCTCCAAGAGCTCACCAGAGAGGCCCCCGAGCGCCCCCAAAAGGCCCCACGAGGTCTCAAAGAGCCTTCCAAGAAGCCCCCCAGGGCCTCCCAAGAAGCCCCCGAGATGCTACGAAGAGCCCTCCAAGATGCACCTGAGAAGCAGCCCAAGAGGCCCTCGAATATCCTCATATGCATCCAAGGGCCCCCTGACCCACCAAATAACTTCTTTGATCACCGCAAGCTCTCGCTCCTTCTGGGGGTCGGCGGAATGGCGTAAGCAAGTTTAAAAACCTCTGAGTTCAAACACTTTTTTGGGGAAGCGCCGAAGGCGGCCGAAGGCGAAGGTTCGTATGCCGAAGGCGGCCACCGCGAAGGTTGCCATACGCATGGCTGTGCCAAACTCGATCGTAGGCCAACGCACGCACGCCGCGCAACTTAAATCGACGAGTGACGGCTCTGCTTCGCGCTGTTGCGCCATTTTGTCGCGAATGGCGGTACGAAACATCTGAGACTGATACTGGGCATAAGCACTCCTATGGGGCACCAAGGCCTAACATCTGACATTGAACACGCCCAACTATACCAACGAAGGCCCACCGCACGACCAAACCAACTATCTGGGGGCATCCGAAACGAGTGGTTACACAAGGGGAACCTGAGCTGCCCGTGAGCGCCCTAGGGGATCAGAATGCGGCGGCCATTCCCTGACCCCCTAGGAACCCACAGGACAAACGGGAAGAATAGGGGAAGGAGAAACGACATTGGCGCGAAGGAGGAGGAAAAGGAGGAGGAGGAGAAGTGGGAACCAAAGAGGAGGCAACGGGCTGGCTAGCAGGAGAAGTAAGGACAGCGGGCATGGGGGAAAAAACAGGACGATGGACGGCGCTACCAGGCCTACGTCCGATGTCGCGACCCCTGCAGCAACTAGGGAGGGCGAGGTCCCTTCGGATATGCGTGTGCCACCGCTACGTCGACTCTCCAGGGACGCATATGAATGGGCGCAGTGGCACGTCTGGGCGAGGTCTCACGCAACCTGCGAGTGCAAGAACCCCGCTCTATACGATCTGAGCGTCTCGTGCTGCTCTAATCCACTCTCCGCCGCCGCCTTCTGTCCCCTGGCCTGCTCGGCGCTGCTTGGCAACTGCGCAAGCTGTTTAGGGTTTAGGCCTTCCCGCGCGGAGCGAGCGCCCGCGATGCGACAAAAGAGTGCAAACACCCCGGCGGAGCTGGTTGCACGCATGGCGGCGGCGAGCGAGGTCCCACTTGGCCCTGCGTAATTCGGGCACCACCCCGCTGGACTCCCCAGGTGCGCAGCAGAGCTGCGACAATGGCGCGCCCCGCAGCATCTGGAGAGGGCGAGTGGGGTCTGCGTCATCAGGATACCACTTCGCTGGGACACCTGAGTACATAACAGAGCGGCCGCACGTGCACGTGCACGCGTGGCAGCACGCAGCGGGGGGCGGGTACATTCTACGGGTCGGCGTAGGAAATCATTGTAGTGGATACCAAAAGTGCGCGGGAAGGTGGTCACGATTGCACGTCTGGCAACATCCAATGGAGGACGTGAGAGGACAGGGAGCAGATGGAGCGAGGAAAGAAGCGGGAGACGCGGAGAGGGAGGACCCAGAAAGGAGGGGATGGGGAGGGAGAACGTTACGCACCAAATGCGCCATCACTGGTGTTGCTTGGTTCTTACCTGCACGTGGAAGAAGCCAGTGGGCGTGAGGTCCTTCTCTGGGAAGCGTCCCCTAACCTCGCTCGGGTTCCCCAGAGTGTCCTTCTTCGGGTTCCCCATATTTTCCCATGTGGGGTCCGCCGGGTTCCTCGCTCGGGTTGCTGCCCGATGCAAAGCAATGCCAAGCAATACCAAGCAACGGTTCCAACCAACAATGCCCAGCAACGGTGCCATTCAATACCAGGCAATGCCCAGCAACCAGACAATGCAAAGCAACGCATAGCAACTGTTACAAGCAATAGCAAACAAGGCAAAAACATGCAACACCAATGCCAAGCAATGCCAATGATTGCTCAGAGCTGGTATAATTTAGAGCCGAAGGATACAATCATGAATGCTGGACACATGAATCTGGCGCGACCCCAATTATGGGAAAATTTCCTATTGCATTGGCGCTTTGCTTGACATTGCTTGGTATTGCTTGGGACGGGCAAGGAATACGAGGCACGTTGCTTGGCATTGCTTGGTGAATCTGGGGAACCCCAAGAACCCGGGGAACCGGGCGAACCCAAGGAACCCGGGGAACCCGAAGAGCCCAGGGAACCCGAAGAGTCCTGGGGCTGGGGACCCCGGGGAACCTCCGAGGAACGGGCAAATAGCAAGCACCGAACCCGGGGAACCTCCGAGGAACGGGCTAAGTAGCCTCCCGAGGCACCAAACTTTAACCACATAAGAACTCCTTAGGCAAGCTCAGTCGGGTAAGCCATACAAACTTGTAAGCGCGGGAGCGAACGGGCCAGACTGCCTGACCAGACTACTGGCCAGACTACCTGCGAATGAGCGAGTAGTCAACCACCCGCCCCGAAACACCAGATCCCGGATCGGGGTTGTAGTGGGAGTCCCCCAATCATGCGAACTGCCGCCAGCAGCATTTGGCCAAAAACTCAGCTTTGGCGATGCCTTCCAGTTGGGTATGACTAACTCCGCTCTGGACTACATGAGCTCACGCTGGCCCCAAGTTTCTGACACACCAATAGCATCAGGTCGGGCATGTCCTCCTACAGGCGGAGTTTGGACGACAAATAAAAAAAGTCAAGAATATTCAGCAATAGTCAAAAAAAGTGAAACAATGATCCCCTGATTATTTTCTTACTCATGCAGATCCACATGGGGGTGGCGTCGACGGGGGGGGCGAAAGTTGAGCGCGCCGTCCGGCGCGAGATGATCTTTAGTTTCCTCGGAGGGTGCCCATTGCGCGCGAGTGTTTCACCGTCGCGGTGCCCATGTTGCAGTTTGGTGATTGGGCGGGCTTCGTGACGGCCGGCTTCGTGCTCGGGCGAAGCGAACAGGTTTGGGTTGCGCGCGCACTAGCGTTCAGGAGCGGTCGTCTGGCATGGCCCTTGTCCTCGCGCGAAGTGATGCGCCATTAAGGTCGCGCTCTCGAATGATCCTTAGAATTGGCAGTGGGTTGCATGGCTCATTTCCGCGGAGTCGCGCAGCGCGCCTCAACCTTGAAGGGTGCCACCTTCTTCAGCCACTACTGGAGGGCGCGGGGCCACGTCGCGCCGGGCCCCCGGATTTCTTGATCCCAGGTCAAGGCCCATCGTACTCTAGACGACGCGTTCTCTGAGCAAGGCCGCGTCTGAATCCTCGTAGCTAGAATGGCACACGATGTAATGGGACAACATCGCGGGGGCGCATGGTTTGACCCTGCTGCTCGTTTAGACACCGCCCCCGCTATCTTCATGTTTCTGGTGTTCGCGACTGGTGCGGGACGGGTGCATGCTAGCGGGCCCTTTCACGAGAGTACTTTG